CCATGCACACGGATTCACACATTGTGAGCTGTGCTTGCTCTCACCCACAGTTACCAACTTCAACGCATACGGGCTTGGCCAACTCCCGAATCCCATTTTCTCTGCAGTCCACTTGTTTTAGATGATACTGACTTGTGTGCTGAGTCGTGCCGCCTTTTATACCATACTCACCACCTCCATCCACTCCACGTGATGCACGTGCTCATGCACTTTCAGATCGGCATTCGTACTTCTCGCCCTCCATCATCACTCTCGTGACTCGTCCATCATAACGTAGGTGGAGGTGGAGAGACCACCCAACCGAAGATCAAATGCTGATTTAATGGCAATGTTGATGTGAAGGCTGATGTCGGTATCAGCCTCATCGATCACAATAAATGCACCGTCATTTCCACCGGTGGTGTAGCTTACAATAATACAGGACCATGCTGCTCATAGCGCATCAGTGGTCTGTCGTGATTGCATGTCACTTGCGAAATACTCTTCTTACTGACATCCAGGATGCCGAGTGATTTTACATTTGGATTAGTTCAGTCATTTTAAATTTGACATAATGTCGCAACACAATTTTTGCATTGAAGTCCAAACACTACATAGTGTGTAGCAAGACCATGAGCACGGGACCGAAAAACCATATAATGGCTGAGGATCTTTCCTACTTAGCATAATTTTGTCTGTCACCTCCACTGAGCAGTTTTTCTGTTTTAGTGCATTTCAGTGCTAGCCAATGCTCTGTGACCAGTGCAATGGCAACGCCAAATACCACGTATGAAAAGAATTTGTTATAAAATTGGACCTGCTTATACAATTAACGTTACAAGTATACCTAAGGTAGACGATGTTATGTACAACTTTATTTATACCACCTTGTTCTTGACTTGATGAGCAAAAAATTAGCTGCTCCTACGAACGCCTAGTTTTGACTACTATAAGATTGATGTTGAAGAGTTGGGAACATTTTATTGACTAGCAAATTTTAGCTAGGATTATAAGCAAATTTGAACTTATGGAAAAAGTGAAAAGCTACTTGATGGCTATAATTGCCACTCGGTAACTTAAGTATCGTGGTTGAGTAACTCGGGAGAAGTAACCTGGATGTCATTTTGGGCATATTTGCTATTCGAGATAAATGGATAGTAACTAAACCAACATTTTCTGTACAAAATTGGTAAAAAAGAATTCGTTTTCTAAATTCTACTCGAAATCTTTTTGTTGACAAAATCCTTACGCAAATCTAAGCCTGTTACCGAAAATGAATTAAACATAGAACATTAGATATACCTAAACACAAGCTAGGAAAACTGTCACCATACTTACGTACTATTGCGACACTGGAAAGACTTGATCTAAACATAATTATTATTGTGGCTAGAGATTGCATTCACCAGCAATTATGCAGTGTAGTGATAAAATCTGAATTACAAATCAAAGCAAACCATACTTTTGAACGTGTGTGAAAGCGAAACTCGAAAAAACCCTCTTGCATTTCGGAAAGGAGATGTTTACCAGTGTCTAAGAGATCTATGCTTACACGGTGCCATTAAAGCAGAACAATTGCATGGCTGATACATAGTTACCTAGAAATAAAACTATTTACAATTATATTACCATAGAAGACTAAAAA